TATAAGCAAAAACCTTAACATTCTAATATGCAAATTCTTATACTTGAAATTGCCCACACATTACTGCACTCATTCGTTGATCCATATGCAACATTATGCAATAAAAAAACGAACGACTCAAATACTTCTAAGTGACCGTATCCACATAACTCAATGTGCAGCAATGTTCTTCACGATCCGTTGATATTTAATGCACCACCTTGGAATGTCAATCTTCTTGATTGTCCCGATATGCGTGTTGTGTGTCTTCGTGAAGCAGATGCCTGGTGATGCGTCGTGAGGGTGAGAGTGTGGGGGAGGGTGATACGAACTGCTTCGTTCTCTTGCTCAGGGCATCGGGTTGGCTGCTCGTGTTGGCAGATACAGTCTCTCTCCACTGCTGTAGTAGCTGCCGCACGCGCTCTCTCTGTGGAGATGCGAACGATCACGCTCGCCGCTGGTTCGCCGACTCTTTTGCTCACGGGCGGCTGGTCAGGCTCTATCCGCTGCTGGATGAGCCAAGTCGCACGCGCTCTCGCTGGCAGCTGGCACTCGATGTCGAATAAAAGTCTTTTAGCGATACTTCTTCTTCTTTCGGCTCTGAACTCGCACTCGGTGGCACCTCGCTACCCTGCGAGTCTCGCCATCCTTAGTCGATCGCGGGGCTCCTTGGAGCCAGCCGCTCGCCGCCCTCTTCTGTAGCTCCTGAGCTGACTGACTTGTTGAACTGGTCTGTCGAGATGCTGGTTGAGCTGTTACATTCGAAAAAAAGTCTCCGCTCTGCGCAGTGGGGCGTAGCCTGTGTGTGTGTGTGCGTCCGTGTGTGTGTCATCCCATCAAGACATCTGTGTCCCTCCATTGATCACCGTCCCCTCCCCAAGGTATCCCTTCATCCGTGGGGTACAGATGGCTCCCTCTTTGCAACAACAAGCAATTCCCTCGCTCTGGTGTTAAATTCCTGTTATCCCGCGCTGCGGGAAGACAAAGGCGGCCGGGAGGCTCTCTTCCTCTCTCTGGCCTCGCAAGCCTGACCCGTCTGCCTCACCTCCTCTGGACAACCTCCGATTCAACACTGCACAAACATTTCCTTTGATTTATGTTCCCAAGATTTGTGATTCAACCAGTTCATCATTAGACGTTTCCTCCGATATTCCAAAGGGTTTATTCCTTTGCTCACACAGTCCGCACACAGGGATACGTGCCTTCCACTCTCGAGGTCAGAGATATGCGTTTGTCCTCACTTCCTTGACTGCGCGAATTCACATTCCTTGGCCTTGTAAGGTTATGCAACGGCGAGATGTGATGTAATATGAAGGTGCACAACGTCCGTGTTAATACTATGTATGCGAAGCAACACCCCGTCATGTGGATTGCAGCCTGGTCCCAGTAAGTGTGTGGAACTCCCTATGATGTTGACTCATTGTTGCCAAGCTCTACATTTTTAACGTTACCCCAAGAGCAATGAAGGGGGGAAATTGTTTGAATCTGTGTGCAGGCGTCCTGTGTCTGCGGCTGACGGAATGGGGGGGGGGGCGAACTTTCGGCTTGGAATTTCCCCTCCCCTCTTGGTGACCCCGACCCAGTGTTACATCAATGAGGTTTGTTCATCTGGAGATTTCGCAGATAACCGCGAACCTTCATTTTGCCCCGGAGTTTATTATTTGCTTATTTTTTTAATTGGCCTTTTTACGATCTCCAGCTGTCGTTTGCTGTTAGTCGTCTGGGTTTGTGTGTTTTCATTTATCATTTCGGTTACTATTAAAAAAATATATCGGCAAATATTATTATTGATATTAATTGTGGAAAAAGGGCCGTATACAACACCACCAGGCTAACTACACTCGTTACTACACTATTTACTACACTAGTTACTACGTAGCTAGTGTAGTTAACCTGGTGGTGACCACCAGGTTAACTACACTCGTTACTACGTAACTGTTACTACGGACCGGAACCAACAGCTTGGGTCCGGGTCCACTCGTTGGAGACTCGTTGAACGGAGAACGTTGACGAAGGTTTCTTCCAGGATGAACAACAACCCCGGTCCGTCTCGGGACCCGGCTTAGATTCTCTGCGGCGTGGGGGCATCTGCCTGCGGTGGGTGATTGAGCCACATGACTTCAGCTCTCTTATTGCCAAGTCAGCGGCCAACTGTGGGTCCCCTGGGAAAGGAGTGAATTAAAATTTGAAGGGCAAATCAGGGCAGTTATTAATTATTAATATGAATTACACAGGAAAGGCTCTCTGTGTCTCTCTTGTGTCTCGTGTGTGTGTTGAACTTCTATCGCACTGTACGTAGCCAACCGTGCTAATCGAAGGTGCGGGCAAATGACAAAAATTGGAGGTGCGTGGGAAGGGAAAATGACTCATTCCAGCAGGGTCCTTGCCATGTCCTTTGTATGTATGCATGTTGAACTTCTTTCGGACCGTACGTAGGCACTGCAGTAAGTGGCGATGATTGATTTTGCTCCGTATAACCCCACTTCGATAATTATTTGTGAATATTTTTTCTTCAAATTTGGAGCGAATACGGCTGACCGTGATATTTCGTTACAACTGATATAGTGCTCATACCGTGCGTGAACCTGGGTTCAACTCCCATTCAAGGTGCACGCGAGTGGCATCTGAACCTGTTCTGGGCTTCTCCAGAGTCGGCTTGGCCTTAAACGAGCACCTGCAGTAGTGGGTAACACACGACCACCACCTGGAAGCGTAATGCAACCACGCTGCGCCTTTCGGGCGCAGCCTTTCGGGCGCAGCGCCGGCCTTAATAGGCGCTCTCTAACAGCACTTGCCTCTGCAATCTACATGGCTGAATAGGAGGATCGTTCCTTAAGAGTCTCAATGTGCACCATACGTGCATTGCCTTGCTTTCAGGACCTAATGGGGGGGGAGGGAAAGCATCGCGAGTTGGCATGGATTGCAGATCAATGCAGACGCCAGCCAGCTTGGCTGGACTGCTGGTGCAGGCTTGTGCATCGCCCCGGAATGACATTGTGCTTGCGGGGAGAGACGGATCTACCATTGCCACCTTCCCAACTGGGGCGTTGCAGAGGCGAGATGTTAACTGCCTCGCCCGGTATGCAGGAGGTTGTGGGTTAAATTCCGGCACTGACGCCTGCTGCTGTACATTTGGAGTTTGCGTGTGTCTATTTGGCTGCTATACAATTCCCCGCGATAAGCCACTTTGTTGAGATATCATTTGTGGCCAGGTCGCTTCTGAAAAAGAGTCACACTGTTTTAGTGGGCCTTAGCTGTTAAAACAAAATAAAACTGGCACACAAACCCACACTTGGGACTCCGCTGGCAAAATGCTGAATTCCATGGCCTTGGCTTCAACGCTTGGTAATGCGATTTGGAAAATTCGGTTCGTGCAGTGCGAGTTCACCTTGTTGTCAAATCATATGACGACCGTCGACGTGATATATAACTGCGGGAAACATTGGCGACGCTCGGCTTTCTGTTGTTGTACCTAATCCAAAAACAAAATGTAAACAAAGTTATTTAGCTTTTAAATGGTAAACCTGGGCCGCGCATTCCAGGCCCCCGGGACCACGTCTGAAACTACGTTAACGATGACTTGCAGTTACGATCAATCGCAGCACCACAGCAGTAGCGCTGCTGCATCGTCATTCCTTGCTTTACAGATTCAATGCACGAGTAGCGATATCGATCGTGTCACGTGTGTCATGTTGTATGTTGAACTTATTTTTTTCCCGTACGTGGCCAACCGTGCTTATCGGAGGTGCGGGAATGGTGCGTTTGACCATCGAACGCAGCCCCAGGTGCGCAAGTGTAAGTAGGTAGCAGTGGTTGTTTTTTTGGTTTGCGACTTTCATAGCATTTTCAAGGATGTAAACTTTGGTGCACCCATATACGTTGTCCTTAAGTTGGTGATGCAGTGGTGCAAATACACAATTTACAGCAAAAACCTCACGTTCATCAATAACACTGTGGCCTGTAAACAGGCAAACCCCTCTTAACGACGGTAATTGGTTCCACGAAACCAGTCGTAAATGGATTTGGTTGTTAAACGAGTATAGGAAATGCACGTTAAAGGCTTAATTCATTCTGATTGCATCGGAAGTTACCTTTTTTCACCCCAAAAAACCTACTTTGTAATATTTAAACAATGGATATTAATACATAAAGCTATCGACATTATAAACACTATCTAAAGAAACATGGTTAATCAATGTGTAGTGAGTCCAACTGAGTCGCAGACGTTGTTCCTTTTAGAGGCAACACATTTATTTGTAACACCGTGACACAAAGGGGTAACTACCCCTTCGCCAGATACAGCCTAGGGTGGTGACCACCCAGCTAATTACACTATACATGGGAGTTACTGCTACGAAGGGTCGGGCCCTCACTCGGGTCCGTGACCATGTGTATGCCTCCTAGGACGTAGAGCTTCCAGCTCGAGATGTAGCGTGCTTCAGCTGGTGGACGTGGAGCCTCAGCTTGTAGAATGCTGCGACCCCGGTCCCTCTCAGGGACCCGCCTTATATCCCCCCACGGGTCGCGGCCGCTCCGCCCTTGGCCCCGCCCGCCTTCTGGAGCCTTCCAGCTCCCCATCGATCCCTCTCGAGAGCTCTCCCCGGACACGTGATCACCCCCTCGTCCCCCCACATGGGGGCCTCTGTGGACACTCCAGATCACGTGTCTGCAGGGTCAACCAGAGTGCCATGGCCCGGGGCAACCCTGTCCCCGGGCTGACACTCTCCCGCTCCCCCTCGTGGGAGCCCGCACTGCACGCTATACGTGGTGCCCTCACTATCCCAGCGCTCACCAAGCCCCGCTAGGGCTGGTACTACACCCGCCGACATTTTGGGCAATGGCCCTTTTTTCATATCACGCAAATCAAAAATACGACTCTGTACAAAAGTCAACAAGTAACTTCCCTTGCTATCGATTCATCAATAGATAACATTTACGCGACAATTTTCTTTTACAAGTACTTATCTGCTTGAGCCAACAATTAAAAAATCACGGCAATCGGTAATGTATACGGAGAGAACTGTGGTTCATAAAACGATGATTTTATTATTAAGGAAATAATGTCAAAGTTTTTACTCGCATGCTATCGTCTGGCCTAGGATCCCACTCAGTACACTGCAGTGTCAACAACACACTGGAAAAAGTTCCGCTTTAAATATCTCTGTGAAAAATATGCTTTGCAGAATTCACACGAGGCACAAATGAAAGCAACTTCATAAAACAGAATCCCCGTTTAGAGGTATGCAACGCGGCGATGCCTCACCCCCGCGCAACGTGATGCAGGCGTTGCGATTCCGTCGTGATTTGCATCCATGATCGGGCGACTGCTGTGAGCATCGCGCCTCTCACGGCTGCAGGGTGGTTACGCGCACAAAACTGAAAACAATTTGACGCTTGGCACAACGCGATGCGACCTGACCTTCGTGCGAGTAGGAACTGAGGATTCGTCACGTGCCTAATTAGCTGCATGAGCTAATTAGGCACGTGACACCGGGTGACAGGAGGAGCGACATGGATCTGGGAACAATGTGAATCCGAGGCATCTTGCTTGTTTAATGGTGCTGGTGAAGAGAACGTCTCTGGAAAGGGAAGAGGATGGCTGATGGGCAAATGGGAGAACACTAAAGGGGACGACCACCGTGGAGATGGAGCAATCGGATCCATTGTGGCATCGCAGGACCATGAGTAATGGTGAAGGCATGGGAGGGGGGGAGCCTTCATCCGGAAGTGAACATAGAACATGGCTGATGATGGCGATAGTCTATGATGTAGTCGTCAAAATATACATTTGGCTGCATTTAAGTAACCTGGCCATGTTGTGCCTGGAGAAATGAGATGTGTGTGTAAATACAGCACGTGGGACAAGCCAGCTTCTGCTGCTGGCGGTGCGGTGAACATAGTTCTTGAACGTGCTTTGCGTCAGTCTCTGATCCCAGCGCCGCCGCCAACACCACCGCCGCTGAACACCGCGCTGTCAGACGCCGACATCCGCAGCACTTCCTGGCAGGTCCGATAGACTTCCACGAGGCAGTCGAGTCGTGGTTTAAACTTCTGCGTGGAACAGGAACACAGGTGACGTCAGCACACGAGAAATCGTTGGCGACGCTCTGCTGAGACGAGCAGTCGGGTTAGCACTCGGCCCCTTTTGGGGCCTCTGAACGTTTGGTAGAAATTCCACGTTCCTACTGCAGGGTCCAGTCTCTACAGCGGACAACCACTGAGTGGTTCTAGATTTGAAGCTGTTCTAAATCGAACCAAACATTAAACTAATTTTCAATGGTACAGTATATTTATTCAAGTAGTGGCATTCCAAACTCCCAAGGTGGTGTAATATCATTTTATGATAATTCCAAGCTTTCACAGTAGTACATTTTATGCTAATTTCCTTTGTCAAGGCGTTTTCTGTTTACCCCCACACAGCTTAAAGGAGGCGACCTGCGCTTGGCTTTCTTCACTCCAACGCTGTCCTCTGGACAGTCCGGTCCCTTCATCTGATGAAGGCCACTTGTGTTGTGGCCGAAACGTCGTGATTTTTTGTTGTTTTATTTTTTACCTACGTGACTTTACCGAATAGAACCAAAGAGTAACAACCACTGAGTGGTTCTAACTGTGGCATGCTGCGGTTGCCCTGCCGCTGGACAGCTCACCGATTGTCTTTTCAGGTTGTGCCACGTGTCGATGGGTTTAATGTCCGACATTTCGCTCCACGTGCCGGGGACAACATCGATGGAAATGACGGTGGCTGATGGACGAGACTCGCGATGGAATGGCAGCCCAAGGGAGAAACACACCCGAGAGGATGACTCCTGCCGAGACGTAGCGGTCCGATCCCTTGTGGCGATCACACCGAACAACTGCATTGACTCTTTACCGATCCCAAAGGAAAGATTGCCTGAGTTGACCCCCAAATGGACTGTGAACTTGCGACCTCCTGATTGTGAGACGACTGCACTAAACATTGAGCATGTTAGCTCTCTGGCTCACCAGTTCGCCCACAAGTGCAAGTTCACTCAACCCTCACCATCCCCCCCCCCCACAATAGGGATGCCCCTGTAGCCTGACAAATGTTTTGGTTCATGTCCCATTCAAAACTACGGCCGCTAAAGAGGTCCACCCAGGACCATTGCATCCATCTGGACGAGTGTCCTCGGCCGAGAATGTCTGCGGTGCTGTAGGTTCCTTGCCGGCGTCTCGGCGAAGGTACCGCTCCCACGCTGCACCGTCACTGGGGACGTCCGATGATACGGTGACACCACGAAAGGGATGGACGGAGACCGCGCCACCCGTTAACTCTTGACCCGTTACAACTTCGACAGTGCTGTTTGTTGCTGGCAGCTTGATGTGTTACACCTTTGGGCCTGTGTTCAGCAACTATGTTAAAATATATATACACAATATATATCTCGGCTTGACAGAACTTGGTGGACCCTAGGACAGATTTGGCCCGTGGGGTTACCAGTTGAAGAACCCAGTCAAAGAGTGCGCTGTGAATGTTGAACACTGCAGCTTTGGACGGTTCACCGGCACGCTGCCGGACGGTGCTCATGTGCGGTGGGCTGTAGTCTCACCGCAAACACGGGGATGATGCCGGAGATCCTCTCAGGGGAAGCGGGATCCTTCAGCAGGATACTCATGTGGTACAGCACTTGCTGCTACAAAAACAAAACGGCAAATTCAACTGGTTACCAATTTAAAGCCAGAGCGTACAACAGAGCATAGACAGGGATGTACGTTCAGTGACAGCCTTGTAAAGGAAGCGTGCATAAACTGGCACGTGCCGATGTTAGTAATAAAGTAATATCCTTTGTTGATCCAGGAAAGCCTCACCAAGTCTCGAGACAATTCCGCAGCAGGGACAATGCGTGCTCTGTTTCGCAAGAGATTTGCCGAGTCATCTTTTTGTATTTAAAAAATTCAGACCGCAACGCCGACATGCAATGACCTACTCTTTCTTCGGACTAAGTCATGGGATCTTTAACATCCGCTCTAAAGCCGATGGCTTGTGACATTTTACAGTAAACATGCACCGCAGTATTAACCGGGGTGGCTTTGCCGGACGTGCCAACCTCTGCAACAAAGCGGCCGACGCGCCACCACTGGGGCACTACGCGTGCGCGTGCGGGCACCACGTGATGCCCGCAACTGACCGCATGGATGACCTCGTTGATGACGATGTCCTTGACGCGCGCCATCTCAATGAAGGTGGCTTGCTGGCGCCCTGATGCATAGTGGCGCGTGAGCTGCACGCCCGTGGCGGCGATGAGGAGCACGCACTCGTGCTCCACCTTCACCACGTGCAGGTAGGCCATCAGCGACACCATAAACACCAGGATGAAGACGGTGAGCACCGCGGTGCTCTGAAAGAAAATAAATACACCGTCGCACGACAACATAAGCTCACACACACACCACGGCGTAACGTGTGCACGCACAACCCTTTGAGACTGGTGACGGAATGCCAGCCGAAAGAGGGAAACGCCATGGCCACAGCAGAGGTGGAGCGATTAAATCGGTTCACGTGCAGATGGATCGTGCCTTCATCCAGCAGTGGATAGCTCGTGGTTAACAATTATGAATGTCGTAATTGAGGCTCTGCAGGGTAATGAACATTTGTGTTGTAGTCACCATTACAGTGAAACCTTGGATTGCGAGTAACTTGGTCTGCGAGTGTTTTGCAAGACGAGCAACATTTTTAAATAAATAATTTGATAAACGAGCGATGTCTTGCAATACGAGTAGTGTACGTATACGCTTTGTCTGCCGAGCATCACGTGATCACAACTGATACACTAGTGCTTTGGATTACAAACACGTTTCCGGAACGAATTATGCTCGCAATCCAAGGTTTTACTGTATAAATATTGCTCTGTAATCAAGGTAACTGGGTGCATCAGAGGCTGAGCTGGCACCACTGACATCCTGGGTTCCAATTTGTGTTTCAGCTGACCATCATTAAACTGTTTCTCAAGTGTAGCGAGTTAATGGGTCTCAGGCCGGTCATCAATGACGACACAAAGCATCACATTAAATTTAGTTCTGCTCTTAATTCGACTTAATTCCACCTCTGAGGCTGTTATGCGGTTCAACGTTTCGCAGTAAACCCTGCAATGCGCTATTGTCTGCAGCGGGGACACGTTTGCCATGTGCGGGATGAGTTGGGAAAGTTTAACACGTAGGCTTTTGCGACCAATATCATCCATCATAGAGATTTTTTGGGTTAGATCGTGTAAATAAATGTGTCGTTTAAACCTGCCACCACCCGACACAGCCAACTAGTAAGGGTTCGTCACTAGTACAGCACTAACCGGTTGTGTGTTGGAGAGCCAAGCCACAACATTTACAAACTGAGTACGACGTTTCGCCAGTAATTACAACTAGCTTCATCAGGCGACAGCCAGATTTGTGGAGAAGTCCACCGGTTTCGTTCCTTATATAGAGGCGTAGATGTGTTGACCACGCTTCTGCGCTCTTGCACAATATGGGTGGAGGCAGGAATACTCGGGCAACGCACATGATGCATGTGCATATTATGCGAGCCCTTCGAACTTGTCCTTCTTGTCTATTGTGTTTATTAAAATAGCCCTACCAAGGGTAATCCCTATTGATGTACGCTGCCCTTTGTAGGCATGCACTTAAATAATAATGTATTGTTTGATGATTCGCTTCCACGCAGCACTAAGGCGGTAGCTATCCGAACGGTTTAAGTTATTTTGATTTCTTTCAATTTCGATAGATTCTCTCTAATGAGTCTTGGCCAGTAGGAGCTAGTTTTTCACAAATCATTGGAGTGTCCTTGTTGACACGTCTGCTACTGCTGACAGTTGTATTTGGGAGAATTTAATATTTCTCTGATGTTTTTTGAGTCTCGTGCTGATCATTCGTCCTGTTTGCCCAACATAACATTTACCACACGTGCGGTTAATCCTGTGCACACCTTGTGTTGATAGCTTCACATCTGTTTGTGACAGATATTAAAATCTGTATTTTATGTCCTCATGGGGCATCACAACAGTCGATCGGTCCTTATCAGCAGCAAGAATTTGGATATCTTTATTTCCTCTCAATTCTCTAAAGGCTTTTATGTTGGGCAAACAGGACGAATGATCAGCACGAGACTAAAAGAACATCAGATAAATATTAAATTATCCCAAATGCAACTGTCAGCAGTAGCAGAACACGCGTGCCAACACGGACACTCAATTGATTTAGATGTTGAAGTTTCGTGCAAAACTAAACTACTACCGGCCAAGACTAATTAAACAACCTATCGAAATAAATCAAAAGTACTTTAACCTTTCGAATAGCTACCGTCTTAGTACTGCATGGAAGCGAATAATCAAATAATACGTTAATTAAATGTGTTATTTAAATAACGTATTATTTGTAGCGGGAGAACTACAAAGCAGGAAGACCGCAGCCAGCTACCGACACCACCGACGACTGCCCAAGCTTTGTGGTCCTCTGTATATCAAGACGTTCCGGCAAATTAATGATTCAGCCTTCCCCCCCTCCCGTGCGTGCAGCGCCCCCTAAACCACCTCCGTCTGCTCGAGGCACCCACAGCAGCAGCAGCCACGCGGCTGCAACAATCCGCCGCTTCTAGATTTAAAGCTTTCGTGACTGCAAGGATCCATACTCTGGTTCTATTCGGTAAAGTCACGTAGGTAAAAAAAATAAAACAACAAAAATCACGACGTTTCGACCACAACACAAGTGGCCTTCATCAGGTGAAGGGGCCAACCTGTCCAGAGGACAGCGTTGGAGTGAAAAAAAAAAGGTCAAGCGCAGGTCGCCTCCTTTAAGCTGTGGGTGGGTAAACAGAAAAGACGCGCTTGGCAAAGGAATTAGCATACAATGTAAAGCTGTGCAAGCTCGCAAATAGCATCAAAAATACATTAGCACCACCGTGAGAGTTTGGGATGCCACTAATTGAATGAATCCGCCGCTAACCAACCAAACAACACTTGCCCAAGCTCTGCGCTCCTCACTATATACTCATCGGCCAATTAATAATTCAGCGTCCCGCACCCCCAGCCCACCCTCCCGTGTGTGGAGGCGTCGTGCCCCGTGCCCTCCGCCCGAAGCACCGACGACCCGGCCGAGGCACCTGCAGCAGGAGGTGCGTGGCGTAGGCCGCGACCCACAGGCCGCACGTGGCGGCCAGGAGCGCGCCCAGCGTCACGCGGGGCCCGCTCAGCGTCAGCTCGCGGCTCAGCGGGCCCGGCCGCGCGGCGCTCAGCCAAGGCGGTGGCGAGCCGCTCTCCATGGCGCGCTCTCGTGTTGGTTGTTGTTGTAGTAGTCGTCGTGTTTGTTGTTGTTATTGTGTTTGTTGTTGTTGTGAGAGCGAGGGGTGAGGGATGGGCGATTCTCCTCTGTTCCCTCTTTCCCGCGGTGAAGGTGGTGGTTGTGTTGTTGTTGTGAGCGAGGGGTAAGTGTGTGAGTGAGTGTCGGGGTGGGTCCTCCTCTCTCGTGTGGTGACAGCGAGGAGGGGTGAGCGAGTGGTGAGGAATGGTGAGCGAGTGGTGTCACGCTGCTGAGCGACACCACGTCCCTCAGGGTCCGTGTCAATTTGACGCGGATCTTGTCGTGGGAGAGGGGGCGGGGTTTGTTGGCCCCGGCAAGAACCATGAAGGGACCGCGGTCATTTGACGCAAGGGGATCCCTGTACAGTTACTGTACTGTACAGCATGTACAGTGGGCGAGTTGCTGCTGCTGCTGCTTTGGCAGTGGTGCAGAAACTAAAAACGCTCAACGCTGCGGCATTATATATAAAAAAATGAATTGGCGACGTTTCGGGCAGTGGCCCTTCACTACACATCCATAGAGAGGGGCCAAGATGGAAAATAATAATTAGCGTCGAAGACTGCAAATATTCGCACGTGTCTTCACGTACAAAAAAAACAAATGTACGTGTGTTGTAGTCCATCGGCTTCCTGTTGGCTTTCCAGGCCATTTGTAATATGTCTGGAAAGCCAACAGGTTATTATCATTTGATTTAAAGCTTTCGTGGCTGCAGGGATTCATATTCTTGGTTCTTTCGGTAAAGTCACGTTGAAGGGATGATGATTGCTTGTGTTGCAGTCAAAACGTAATTTTGTTTTATATTTTTATTATTTTATTGTTTCCCTTATACGTGGTGACTTTACCGAAAGAACCAAGAATATTTCAATTTCAGTTTATTTCTTTTGGTATAGCCCTGTGAGCCATTCGGCTCTTGAATCGGGTGCAACCACAACAAACAAAAAAACTAAAACACGAACAAGAAAAACATCTTAAAGTGACTGTGTTGACTGTGCAAACAGAAAATCCATGAAAAAAACAGCAAAATATTCCTGAAAAAGCACCGTACACCAACGCTGTGTGCAAAAAATCCCAGTGGGATGCAAGTCAAACAACAACAACCACAAGATAACTTAGATTAAGGCCATCAGTCTAACTCCGTACTACAACAAAACAAACGTGTCCAAACAAAAAAACGTTTTTGAAATCACCAAAAAATTAAGCCATAATTGCAACGTAACAGCGATCACAGGGACTGTGACCGAATTTTTAACAATAAACTACATAAATAACATGTAACACCAAATCCTAGAGCCATAGCTGGCTGCATGAGTTACTCCACAACAACAGGAGCATCAGTCGGAGTATCAAATTTTTTAATGCACCTTTAAGATCAGCACGCTAAATCAAAATACAGATAATACGTTGCAGCGTCAAATAAAAAGCGAAACATTTTATTTTATTTTACGCCAATGAATAGCAGTGGCAGCTAGGGGTGTACAACTCCTCTCGAGCAGTTTTGAGAGAATATCTCATTGGTAGCGATTCAAGTTGCAGTTTATTGGCAATAGCATTCCAGACCCTGGGGGCATCAATAGCAAAGGCCCTTCCTCCAGTTTTTTTTATGGCAATAGGGAATGTGAAGCTGGTAAATGAGCGAAGATCTGAGGTCAAATTTGTTCTTTGAAACAGAGAGGAGATCCAGCAGGTAGTCTGCGGATTTTTTTGTAAGTACATCGTGAATAAATAAGATCTGGTGCACAGGCCGTCGAACATTAAGAGATGTTAAGTTTGACCCATATATGGGCAGTTCAATGTAAATCGTAAGGCCGAGTGATAGATGGAATCAAGCTTCTTCAGTACAGTACTTGGGGCTGATTTATACACGATGTCACAGTAGTCAAGTAGAGGCAGTATGGTAGCTTTTATCAATTCCAAACGGAACATTGGGGGAAGCAGTGCTTGTGTCGATACAGAAAACCAATTTTTATTTTTGTCTTTTTACCAATATAATCAATGTGATCTTCAAAATTCAGTTTTGAATCCAGGATGACCCCAAGATACTTATAGATCTTGACTTGCTCTATTTGATAATTATTTAAGGAATGTAATTGGGGAAAAATAACTTCCTGCTTTAGTCCTGGTGAGAAGCATAGCACCTTGGTTTTGGAGGTATTCAGGACTAGTTTAAGAGCAACTAGCTGATGTTGTAGTTTGTTGAAATCACCCTGTATGTTAGCAATCACGTCATCCGGAGAGCGGCCAGCAGTAATCAGTATCTTGTCATCTGCAATTAGATTTACCCTGGAATGATCCAGGTCAGTGCCCAAGTCATTGACATAAAGAGAAAACAAAAAGGGGGCAGAGGATGGAACCCTGTGAAACCCCTTTTGTTATCTTAACACTTTGACCTCCAACCATCTGTGAATACAGTTTGGGTGCGAGAAAAGAGGTAATTTTGTAACCATTTTACTGCGTTTTCGGAAAAACCGAGGCAACTTAGTTTACTAAGCAGGGTGTTGTGGTCTTCTGTATCAAAAACTTTGGACAGGTCTAGAAAAAGACAGGCACAGTACTGCTTATTATCAAGGCTACTGTAAATGTGATTCAGAGAGTCTAATGCAGCAGATGTGGTGCTGTATTTTTTTTGGAACCCAGATTGTTTTAGATGTAGTAGATTTTTGGTGGACAGGAAACTGCTAATTTGGTAGGTCAATAATTTTTCAAAAATTTCCATCAACGGGGACAAAATTGAGATAGGTCGGTAGTTATTTGGATCATCTTTAGGGCCCCCTTTGTGAAGTGAACGGACAACCTGATGGACAGGTTGAAAATATGGGCTATAGGTTTGTATATTAGGTGACTAACAGTTAGTAGAGCAAAGACGGGAATACTATCTGCTCCGGTAGAGGAGGACCCTTTGAGGTAGGACAGTTGTTTCAGAACATTACTTTCGTGGATTGGCTGGAAACTAAATTCGTTTAATGTTTGGACAGGGGTGTAGAAATATGCATGAGCAGGGGTGACTCCCAATACATTATTAAAAAGATTACCAGCTTCAGAAAAATGAAGGTTAAAATTGTCAACTATTTTCTTGGGATCTGAAAAATATTCCCCATTTCGGTTATAGGTTATTATCAAGCGGCATTTGTTTTTGGGCAATTTCTGGCCCTGTTTCTACCTGCTGGGTCTCATCAGCAGCAGCGTTGCCAGACTTGTTGACTGCTTAACACGTAAGTCGTAGACTTTAGTGACCAATAGCCAAAATAGAGGGTCTTCTGGGTTACATCGCGTATATATAAATGTGTCGTTAAACCCGCCACCACCCGACACAGCCAATTGATAAGGTTTGTCGCGTGAACAGAACTTGGTAATTCGTTACTAGCACAACAACACCGCTGTGTTGGAGAGCAAAGCCACACACAACATTTACAATCTGAGCACAACGTTTCGCCAGTAATTACAACCAGCTTCATCAGGTGGCAGCCACATTCACTGGCGCGTGTCAAGCGTTTCAGCTCAGCGGGAAGCTGAAGGCCAATTACCGCGAAACAATTTGATGATGAGGATCGCGAGGATTGCTCTGAACGTGGCAATTTGTGATTTGGTGTGGTACGTCGGGTGGCGGGAGGGACTTTCGACACAGGTTTGCCCTGTCACCGTGGCCTCGCCCAAAATCAATTCGCGAAGCATAATAATTGACCGTGAAAACTCGGGTGGGTAAATGTTAAATGAAATTACGGTGGTGTGTGTATATTGACTGATGCTGATTCTTTATCTGGAATCACGTTGCTGTATTATTCATTGCAATCTAACCCCCTACGTAAGATGGCTGCCAGACATCACTCATCGCGTGACGTCATGAGCACTGCCACCCCACCCCGGCAACTCCCCCACTTACCCCCCCCCACCAACTCCTCCACTTACCACCCCCCACCAACTCCCCCACTTACCCCCCACCAACTCCCCCACTTACCACCCCCCACCAACTCCCCCACTTACCACCCCCCACCAACTCCCCCACTTACCACCCCCCACCAACTCCCCCACTTACCCCCCACCAACTCCCCCACTTACCACCCCCCACCAACTCCCCCACTTACCCCCCCACCAACTCCCCCACTTACCCCCCCCCACCAACTCCCCCACTTACCCCACCCCCACCAACTCCCCCACTTACCCCCCCCCACCAACTCCCCCTCTCACCAACTCCCCCACTTACCCCCCCTCTCACCCCCTCACCAACTCCCCCACTAACCTCTCCACCCCCCCCCACTAACCCTCCACCTTCACCCCCACCACTAACCCCTCCACCCTCACCCCCACCATTAACCCCCCCCCCCACTAACCCCTCCACCCTCACCCCCACCAATAACCCCTCCACCCTTACCCCCCCCCACTAACCCCTCCACCCTCACCCCCCCCCCACTAACCCCTCCACCCTCACCCCCACCACTAACCCCCCCCACTAACCCCTCCACCCCCCCCCCCCCACTAACCCCTCTACCCCCACCCCCCCACTAACCCCTCCACCCTCACCCCCACCACTAACCCCCCCACTAACCCCCCCAACTAACCCCCCCCACTAACCCCCCCACTAACCCCCCCCCCCCCCACTAACCCCTCCACCCCCCCCACTAACCCCTCTACCCCCACCCCCCCACTAACCCCTCCACCCTCACCCCCACCACTAACCCCCCCCACTAACCCCCCCCCACTAACCCCCCCTCTAACCCCCCCTCTAATCCCCCCCACTAACCCCCCCCCACTAACCCCCCCCCCACTAACCCCCCCCACTAACCCCCCCACTAACCCCCCCCACTAACCCCTCCCCACTAACCCCCCCACTAACCCCCCCACTAACCCCCCCCCACTATCCCCCCCACTAACCCCCCCCACTAACCCCCCCCACTAACCCCCCGCACACTAACCCCCCCCCACTAACCTCCCCCACTAGCCCCCCCCCACTAACCCCCCACTAACCCCCCCCCCACTACCCTCCCCACTAACCCCCCCAACTAATCCACCCCCCCACTAACCCACCCCCCCCCCCCACTAACCCCCCCCCACTAACCCCCCCCCCCCCCACTAACCCCCCCACTAACCCCCCCCACTAACCCCTCCACCCCCACAGCGCGAGGGGCTCAAAGGCGGCAATTTTAGCGGCAACGGCGTTGGGCCTGAATCGATTTCTACATTCGTTTGAAGCGGGAATCGAATTCGACGTTACTTTTGCGGTACTCGGACCGAATTGGCCGTAAAAGGCATATTTTAGTGTTTCTATGTAAGATATTGGCTATTGAATCTTGGGCGCGAGTTCACCTTCTCTCTAGGTTAGGCGCGATTCACAAGCGGGTAGGGGGGGGGGGTATAACGTGAATCGAAATCCGCATGGAATCGATAGAACCAGTTTGCGTCGACTCGATTCGTTAGTGGTTCGGATCGTTGCAAGCCAGCTTTAAACGGGGCTCTCGCTCGCTGCTGTTTAACGAGAAAATCCGAGCTCGACGGGCTGCCACGGTCGAGAGGAGAGATATCAAGCCCCGCCGGAGGTTGTCACACGTCTCCGTGGATGCGTATTGCTTATTCGGACGTTAATTGAATATCTTGCGGGGTCCGAGGCTCCGTGGGACTAGTGGAGGTCTGCCGGGGACGCGCGACGCTGCCCGGTAGGAATATGTAGGCCGCATGCGTTCGGAGTATTTTTTAAAATATATTTTTCTTAAAATAAAAATCGTAATACTTTTATTACAGCGTCGTTCTGAACGATCACGTTGCGATGCGTTGCGCGGGTTGTGTTTATAATTTTTTTAGATCTATAAGAGGTTCATGATTTTGCCCTCAACGAGTCGTATGGGGCATTACTGTAATTATTGATGCGTTTACCCAGCAAAGGTTCTCAGAGTCTCGGGGATTTTCTTTCTGGAGGATCCTGCATTGATATGTTTGACCAATTTCATCAGCGAGCGTTTGGCATGTGTGAAGAACTGTATTCTATAAATAACCTGTTTAACACGAAGGCTTTCGCGACCCAATATCCATAATTTATATATTTTTGGGTTAGATCGCGTAAATGTGTGTTGTTAAACCCGCCACCACCCGACACAGCCAATTGGTAAGGTTTGTCACATAAACAGAACATATCAATTCGTTACCAGTACAGCACATCGGTGTGTTGGAAAGCAAACCCACATGTACCTACTATAATCACCCAGGAATGTCTGTCCTTAACGCTCGTGGCGTCACTCCACATAGACCAGCCCCCCTAATTAATATTCATGAGCAGGTGACGTCCTCCAAATGGACACCCCCACCCCACATTAATAATCATGAGCAGGTGACGTCACTCCACATCGAACAGCCCCCCTCATTAATAATCATTATAAGGTGACGTCCTCCAAATGGACACTCCCCCTCATTAATAATAATTAGCGGCTGACGTCACTCCACATGGGGGAGGGGCGAGGCGCCTCCTCCCCCCTCCTCGGCGTTAACTCACAACCCTCACTACAAAGGCTTATCACGTGACAAAGGCTTATCACGTGACAAAGGCTTATCACGTGACGCGATCTCCGTAACGCTGTTGAGACATCAAAGTAAAAAGGACGCCGTGATGATCAAGGGAATATAACCTTCAAATGAAATAGCTCTTTGACACCGCGCCTTAATGCAATTAATATCACGTCGCGGTCTGCTTTTCGCTTGCAAGTTTCAGATTTACTGCAATACACCCGTCCTTGGACGGGCAAAAGGCGAGTTTACTAGATTAAAATAACCTGGGTGGTGCAAACTCTCCTGTTTAATTCGCATTGCGGCACCTACCATAGTAATGTGGAATTTCCACCATTTACCCAGTGGAGCACCGCGACATTGCTTCAACAGATGATTTGGTGATGCTTGCCGCTGCTGTTGGCGCAATCACAGTTAACAAAAAACACTCAACTCATTCGTCAATAACTATGTGACCTTAAACGGAAAAATATATAACGGGCGACGTTTCGGGCAGGAGTCCTTCATAGTTACGGAAATGTGCTATGATGACGCGCCAATTGCGAGAAACGTCGCCTCATATACCTTACTTTTTAAGGGAATAGAGTTTTTGACGAACGTCTTTTGAGGTGTTTTGTATTAACATAGTTTTATGTTAATGTGGCACATTAGGAATGGACCACTCTTTTAATTATTTCCTCGTGTGTAACGTTAAAGTTAGAATCACGCAAAATAAAAGTCTAATGAAACCCTTCGTGGGCTTTTATGCATTACAACTTTTTTTTAATTTGGATAAAGAATGTACCTGGGTTTTCACGTGAACACTTTGAAATGGAAAAGGTGTCTGTTGGTACCGTTATCTGCTATCCATCATCGGATCTGTAGGTGGCGATGTCTGTCAATCCTGGAACTGCTGTTGTGAAAAAGAGTGTCGCAGACAATCGTCAGCCCTTCTACCTATAGAACACACGTGGGGTCAAATATAATTAAAATGACAGCAACATTTTTGGCTGAAATTGCAATTCCTTTAACATTGCAAAAAATATGCACTTACATGGTTATGTCATGACATTCCCATTCTTCTTGGGTCTTTCGGTAAAGTCACGTAGATAGGTTTACTTTACCGAAAGACCCAAGCATATGAATTCCTGCAGTCACGAAAGCTTTAAGTCAAGATTCCCATTCTTGCTATCCCGGGTGTCAAATCAATACTGATTGATGGCAGCAGTGCGTTCAACTGTTTACAAGGTTTTTGCCCACGAGTTGTAAATACTGCATGAGAATACTGAGGCGGACCAAGGAATGTGGGCCATTGACGTTTTGGTCACAACTCCTAATTAGGTAGGCGTTTCTGAGTTTAGCGGTAGGTACTGTTCACATTTACAAGATGAGTTAAAATCCAGCTGACCACCACCACCGGTATCTATTGAGGACTGATGGTTACTGGCTCAGACACTAAACTCGCATGCACTTGAGAATCTAGTTTAATCAAGTACGACCTCAACCTGGAATCGAACCCAGCAGGGTGTCAGTTCAGTGTCTCTGATGGCCATTTTTGTGGCCGCTGAGCCTCCCAACTCGAATAGATTCTGACTTTTGCTCACATGTGCATGCAGAGAATGCAGTGGGTTTCATGGCAGGAAAGGGCAAGTATCTGTAAAGGTCTGAATAGAACCACGGAAGTAGAAGAATTGTGGATGTAATCAGGATGTAGAGTTTTGCGAAGGGTGGGGCATGCGTGCTGAATAGAGGAGGGCAGGTGGGACATCGGAGTAGTCGGTTACCAGGGGGAAGAACTGCATTCAGGTTGTGGTAACACGAAAAGAGGATGTACACACTGAATTCTTGCTGTCAGGTCAAGAGACAGATCCATGGGCTACCTAAAAAGCCAAAAGCCACAATCGGTGATACAATTGTAACAGTGGGCCTCGGAGACCATTTGTGGACTGGACAACTAAAGTAAAGCAAAACATAGTGGTATGAATTGTAATAACCTCTTGATCTTGTCGCTTAGTGTCGCTGCGTGGCAGTGGTGATGGTCCTGTAAGAGATTTCCTTAAAGGACAATTCGACAGTGTAACCCGATAGTGGTGGTGGTGAGACTTGACATTGGACGTTGCTGGTCAAATATGCACTGCTGCATTATCCTTATGATCTGGCCGAAGGAAGGATGTGATAGTGAGGCATGGCAATATTCATGACATTGACTGTAATTGACATCTTGATCCTGAGCCACCTGGCCACCTTGTTATTTGATTTACAGGCCGCGTTGAGGTGACAGGGAGGGAGTGGGTGAGTGATGGACAGGTCCCAGGTTCATGCGGAGGGGAGGCTGGAGGTGCGAGGGCTGGAGCTGGAGGTGAGGATGGAGGCGGGCGGCTCCAGCCTGAACGTCGAGGTGCAGGACCCCTACTCCGGAGACTGCTGGAGGGCAGACTTCCAGCCGTCGTGTACGTGCGCACTTCACGCATGCACCGCGCACAATCTGTGTGTGTGGATGGGTGCGTGCTTGTCTCATTAGCGTGTTCCTCCGGCAGGCTAGGCTGCAATGGCTGAGTCATATAGCCCACGTGGTCAGCCACCGCATGCCCAAGCGGTATCTCTTTGGTCAGATAGAGGAGCTGAACGGGCACGGCACGGGATAGAAAACAGATGGAAGAGGCTCGTGACGGATGCTACTGGGAAGTTGCCCTCCAGCAGCAACACAGGGCGGAGCGTTGACGCTCATGACAATGAGCAGAGCACTGGGCGGCTAACACGCAGTAAGTTGGCATCGTGGGGAGCATAGGTGGTGCGTCTGTCAGTTACCTCGGTTGACCCATAACATCTGGAATCGTCCTGTGACCTACCAGAAGCGAGCCTGCCTCACTCCACGTGGCATTAATGTGCACTTAGCGGTAATGTATTGGTTAGCACTCTGTCCTACGAACCCGGTGACCCGAGTTCGATTCCCGCTCATGGCCAACACCAGTGATGATTATCTGAACCAGTCCCAGGTCTCCCGTTCGTCGACTCGGCCTCAAATAAGTACCCGGTACAGTGTGTAAACATTGGTACTAGTGAGACAAAGGCGGCCAGGCGTGGTGCTGGCCACCCACCCCTTTCGTGTGCCATACCGGCCTTCATAGGTGCTCGCTAAACAGCACTTGCTCCAAGTCTGTTAAGGCTATATGGGGGATCTTTGTCTTTTACATGTGCTTGTGATTTTTGTAGACGTTGAAGATCTGACGCATAAAACCGGAAACTTCAAACAATTCTCGGTGTTCTGCAGCATGCTTGAGTCGGCCATAACACAGGTGAGAGCCTCTCTGAAGCCTATGCCCAGGGGTTCTGAACCCTCACTGGACTGACAGTCCCCTGCAGCTGAGGTGTGGGCTTCTCAGCGAGATTACAAACGAAAGAAAGGCAAAACGCAGCGGACGAGATGATGCGAAATTGCAGTGCAAAAAGAGGAGACGGTCAAAGTTGGAGCAGGTTCGAGAAATTGCATCGTCGCATTTGCAGAACGGCAAATATCAACGCACATGGGACGGAGCAGAGGAGATGGAGCCGATATCCACGGTCACAGTGCATTCAGTAGACAGGGTACGATATTGTCAATCAGATTCCAGAGGATTAACTTATTTTTGTATTATTAATTTCCTTTATTCGTTAATATTAATTGAGAGCTCTTCTCTGCATACACTGCATTATGAAGGTTATTATTTAACACCCATAATCCACCAAGAGAGAGCATGCAGCTTTTGTAACCGTAGAATTGTTAATTTGTCAATCTGTCAATCACTATAGATCAGGGTGTGTGTGTATATACACACGCACGAAAATACAGCACTTTGTCAATTCTATAAATGTCCAAATGATGGGTCACTTTGTTGAGCTATCATTTGTGGCGAGGTTGCTTCTGAAAATTGAGTGAATACCTCAGTGGGCTTTGCCTGGTAGGATGGGGGGATGGTTTAATGTTGTATTTGTTTGTCTTTGGGTGATTTGTTTATCTTTCTTGTACTTGGGACTGCTCTCATGTTTTTGGTTTGTTAGTTGGAACGTTCTTACCCCGTGCCCCTACTGGACATCTGTAAAAAAAGAGCTTTATGGCTCATCGGATTCCTTCAGCAGTATAAATAAATATTCTGATTCTGGTTTGACCATACTTCACCACACCATACTTCAGGGTCAGGACCACTCAAGTTAGCCATGGTTGGGAATTGAACTCGGGTCTCCAGGTGCAGTGTGATCATGACTACACCACCGCTCCACCCTTGTGATTAAGAGTCATTGTTTTTTTGTATTAGCAAAACTTCACTCTCATTATAATGGTTAAAAAAACATTCAATTCAAGATCACATTGCCACCCCTTCTCAATTCGATGCATTCATTCGATTGATTCTATGCATTCATTCAATTTGATGCATTCAATAGATTAATTCATTTCGATTCATTAATTCGTCCGGGCTGTGCTGTCAACTGTGTGGTGCCGTGGTTTAGATCGATTCGCAATCGCAGGGGTCACAGCTGCAAATCCCCACGTGGGGTTGATTCCACTCTGTCATCTCTGTGTATGTATGTCGAACTTCTTTCGCACCGTACGTAGCCAACCGTGCTAATCAGAAGTGCATGGGAAGGGGAGGAGGCATGGGTGCGAGGGGAGGGTAGGTTGGGGGGGGGGCTGCGGGTGGGGGGGCCTGGGAGGTACCACTTTCAGGAAGGGGGGGGGGGAGGTAGAATCAGTGTTTCGGTCGCCTGCGACTAACATGGGTTCTCGGTCCAGTCACAGACAGCTGTCCTCTGGAAAGACTCGCTACGGCAATGTGGAATTTCCATCCAACACTCGTTTGAACAGGAGGACTCTGACCGTTGTCGTTGACCCGACTCGGCTGTTTATTCAGAGCAGCGAGTCGGTGAGCCTTGACCTCCTGACCTATGCCGACTTGGAGCGAATGAGGAGCCGTAAAAGCGGGCCGGCCATGCGGTCAGCGCTGCATCCCTCCGCCGCCGCCGCCGCCGCCGCCACCACTCCCAGTGGGGCCGCCAACCCAGCACTCAGCTCCAAGCGCTACCTCATTCTCATCTACACGGTGGAGTTTGACAGGTGCCCGGCCAGCAGCAGAGGCAGCAACAGCAGCATCACTGTTTCTTAATGCCATCACCACCGCCATTGTGATGGTGGCTGTGCACGTGGCCTGTAACCCAGAATCGCGGAGGCAAGGATTGCTGGATCGCGTAAATGTTGTGAAACTCTTTTCCCCTCGTGGGAGTCGAGGAGGGGCCATGACTTTGCTCGCCAGGAGAAGGCGGCACTGCAAGTAGAATAAGCGGCATCCGTTTCTATCTATACGGGGATAGAGTTTTGTCCCCTCGCATGCGTGGGGTTTTCTCTAGGTGCTCCAGTTTCCTCCCACTTGTATAATAAACATAACTCTTTGTTAATTGGCTTAAAACATCATAACATTTAAACTCGATGTAGCAGCAGGACCCTCCTGAAAAAGAGTCGTTGGACTCAGTGTGGCTCTCCTGGATAAATTAGTAAATTATTAATTACCATCATCACCGCTGTCACCATCAGCAGCTCCGCCAGCAGCAGCAGCATTTACAGCCATCACCGCTCATTAATACCATAGTTACCACCACCACTATCACCAGCAGGATTACTGTGATCGCCACCACCGTCACTATCATATGCAAAATCACCATCGGCATCCTAATAACACATCTCACTACCAGCCAGCATTACTGACATCGTTGTCACTGTGCATGAATGCAGGCATACAGCTGCACATGGCACACAGATATTCAGGCAGTCAAGCACAAAGTTGTACGTGCACACAGGTGTACATATACACAAGTGTACGTGCACACAGGTGTAGTCACACGTGCACACAGGTGTATGTGCGTGCAGGTGTACACATATACAGGCACACAGTTGAGTGGGCCTGCCACAGCAGTCCTGCAGAACTCACCGTGTCCGCCCGTTCCCCCTGCGCAGGATCCACTACCCGCTGGCGCTGGGCTACGCGGGGCGCCCGGATACCGCCACCCTGCAGAGAGCCGTGCGCCAGCTCAAGGAGGAGCTGTCCCACCTGCGGGGTCACCCGGGCGTCGTGCAGGACCACAAGCACAGGGAGTGAGTGCGGCAGCCACGCTCGCCTCTCAACTCTGTGCCCGTCTCCCCCGCTGTATAGATCCTACGCACTGATGTACGCGCGTACTTTGTACGTGTCCATTCCATGCGCGTTTTGTACACGTACTTTGTTTAAAGGGTTGCTGCCGTGGTGTAACGCTGAGCACACGAAGTCTCGCAATCCGGAGGTCGTCGGCACGATCTCCCAGCGCCCCCAGTGTGAATGGGTAAACCGTGGTTAATTGATATGAAGACCACGTGTGGTGGGGGTAAAGTGTGATTCCTTCAACGTCAAATACCCTTTCGAGGGGCTCCTAGATCCTCCTCGGTGGAGGCCCCTCTGCCAGCAGTGGGACTGAGCAAGCAATTTCACACCTGCAATTTTCCCCTTTTCCACTCTGTAAACTCTGAAGCCTCCCCTCCCCCCCCATCGTGCACCAGGCTGGAGTCTCTCCAGCGCGACAAACGCGAGCTGGAGGCGCTCGTTGCCCGGCTGCAGAAGAGAGCGGAGGGTGGCGGCTGCGGCGGTGCGAGCGACGCTGGCGGCGTTGTCGGCGCCACGGCCGCCAAGGAGCTGCGCGTGCTGCGACGCCTCGTGTCGAGCCTCCAGGAGGAGCTGGGCCGGGAGCGAGCCAAGGCCCAGCGCTCGGCCGCCAAGAGGTCGCAGGAAATCCGCAAGCTCGACGACGAGGTGCAAGCGGCGACTGCGGCGATGGGAATTTTGTTGATCGTTTACACCGCCACCCTGAGCCTGGGGCCGTGTGACACAGCACGAGGCTGGGTGGCTCAGGGGGGTTCCTAGTGGCTGTGTCGGAAATCTTTGGTGCTGTTATGGCGTTGGCACCGTGATTGCGTTGGCTTAGTGATGGCATGGGTGCTGGGATAGTGCTGTCATCACGATGACGTTGGTGTCACGATGACGTTGATGTCACGATGACGTTGGTGTCACGATGACGTTGGCATCGCGATGACGTTGGTGTCGCGATGACGTTGGCGTCACGATGACGTTGGTGTCGCGATGACGTTGGTGTCACGATGACGTTGGCGTCACGATGACGTTGGTGTCGCGATGACGTTGGTGTCACGATGACGTTGGTGTCACGATGACGTTGGTGTCACGATGACGTTGGTGTCACGATGACGTTGGTGTCACGATGACGTTGGTGTCACGTTGACGTTGGTGTCATGATGACGTTGGTGTCGCGATGACGTTGGTGTCACGATGACGTTGGTGTCACGATGACGTTGGTGTCACGATGACGTTGGTGTCACGATGACGTTGGTGTCACGATGACGTTGGTGCCACGATGACATAGGTGTCGCGATGACGTTGGTGTCACGATGACGTTGGTGTCACGATGACGTTGGTGTCACGATGACGTTGGCGTCGCGATGACGTTGGCGTCGCGATGACATAGGTGTCACGTTGACGTTGGTGTCATGATGACGTTGGTGTCGCGATGACGTTGGTGTCACGATGACGTTGGTGTCACGATGACGTTGGTGTCGCGATGACGTTGGTGTCGCGATGACGTTGGTGTCACGATGACGTTGGTGTCACGATGACGTTGGTGTCACGATGACGTTGGTGTCACGATGACGTTGGTGTCGCGATGACGTTGGTGCCGTGTGTCCGTTGGTGCAGCTGGAGGAGGCGCGAGCGTCGGAAAGGAGTCTCCGTGCCCGCGTCAAATGTCTCAGCACCGAGCTGGCTCTGTACAAGAGGGGGTGAGCGAGCCCACGCGCATGTTCAAAGATGCAACCAAAAAAAACACAACGGCTCTCGTAGATGTACAATGCACAACAAGATAATGTAATAATCATATGATCGCACATAACCCAGCGGTACAGCCATCGAGCGTGCCGGCGCTGCATCAGCGCCGGTGTCCACAGGCTGGAAGGCTCCGGGTGCCGGGCTGTGGCAGGGAGGGATAGTGGACAGTGGGTCGGGGAGGGGGGGGGGAGGCTCTTTAATTCTCAGCTCTTGGGGCCCACGACAACATCGCTGCCGCAACTCCATGAAGTGGTGCACGGATGAGCCGCTTAAAATTGATTCTCGCACTCACGATATGCAACATCGAATGGTGTGCATGAACATCGATTATTATTTAAGATTCGTGCAAAGTGCGTGAAGATCATATGCGAATGTTTTTGCTAACTTTAGGCTCTTCGTAATAATGGAGTAGAAAATTCACATGAGGATGACAGAACTGACAAGACAATGTAAACGAGATCTATACTAGAAATGGGATGGCATGACATACGAGGCAAATGAAGCAAATCAGACGAGGAATGGGACACTGCAAATTACACTGCAACAAACAAGATGGTACAGATGAGAAATCGGGCAAGCGGGACGGAACAAACAATATAAAGGAGGTGGTAAAAACAAGACAAAAAGAGAGTAGGTTCTTCAATAATGACCTCGAATCGTGACGATTCCGCAAATCACCTGGGCGGTGACTCATGCTCTGACTGACTCACTGATGAACCGATGGACTAATTCACTGTTGGACAGGCAGACTGTCTCACTGATGGATGGATGGACTGTCACTGATGGACAGACTGACTCACTGATGGATGGACTGATTCACTGTTGGACAGGCAGACTGGCTCACTGATGGATGGATGGACTCACTGATGGACAGACTGACTCACTGATGTATGGACTGATTCACTGTTGGACAGGCAGACTGGCTCACTGATGGATGGATGGACTCACTGATGGATGGACTGACTTCTGATGGATGGACAGACTGAGTCACTGATGGACGGACTGACTCCCTGATGGACGGACTGACTCCCTGATGGATGGATAGACTGACTCCCTGATGGACAGACTGACTCACTGATGGATGGATGGACAGACTGACTCCCTGATGGATGGATAGACTGACTCCCTGATGGACAGACTGACTCCCTGATGGACGGACTGACTCCCTGATGGATGGATAGACTGACTCCCTGATGGACAGACTGGCTCCCTGATGGATGGATGGATAGACTGAGTCACTGATGGACGGACTGAATCATTGATTGCCGGACTGGGCTCACTGACAGGGACGGGTGGACCGGCAGCTCGTTACTCAGACTCCTTGTGCCCCAGGAGGGTCACTCCCGTGCTGCCCCTAGCGGAGCGTTCCCGGGGCAGCGAGAGGGCGGCGTCCGGGGGTCCTGGAAGGGCCCGGGGTGAAGTTCGCTCCGCGTCCCGCGAGAGGGAGAGGACGGCGTCCAGGGAGGGGCGACCCCCCGTCCGTGGTCCCCGCTCACGGACCCCCTCCCTGTCGCCAGCCGGTGAGGACGGACACTCGCCCACTCGCCCACTCGCCCACTCGCCCACTTAAACGCTCTACCACTCATTCCCTACTCATCCACTCGTTCTCACGCTCACCTGCTCACTCCTTGCTTATAAATTGCTCGCTCGCTCACTCATACACTCACCCACTCGCTCATTTGCGCACTCACTTACCCACTTGCTCATGTACTTACCCACTCACTCACTCCCCGTTCACTCACCCATGCACTCACCCACGCACTCACCCACCCACTTATGCACGCGCTAACTCACTTACACACTTGCTCACATGCTTACCCGCTCACTCACTCCCCGTTCACACACTTGCCCACTCATTCATTTCCCCCACTCACTGGTTCGCTCATTCACCCACTCACTCGCTTAGACACCCACCCTCTCACTCATTAACCATCTCCACTCATACATACACACACACCCACTCATTCACTTACTCGATCATTCGGCCACCCACCTATTTTGAATCTAATGAGATATTTGATAGTCTGTCAAAATTAAATCAAGAGTGTGAGAGTGTATATAGAACTGAACATATGTTGATTGTATGTGTGCTTGTATATGTGTGTATACTGTGAATGTAATTGGTGTATGTACAGAGGGAAAAAAGTATTTGATCCCCTGCTGATTTTGTACGTTTGCCCACTGATCAGTCTATAATTTTAATGGTAAGTTTATTTGAACAGTGAGAGACAGAATAACAACAAAATCTAGAAATACGCATGTCAAAAATGTTATAAATTGATTTGCATTTTAATTAGGGAAATAAGTATATGACCCCTCTGCAAAACATGACTTAGTACTTGGTGGCAAAACCCTTGTTGGCAATCACAGAGGTCAGACGTTTCTCGTAGTTGGCCACCAGGTTTGCACACATCTCAGGAGGGATTTTGTCCCACTCCTCTTTGCAGATCTTCCCCAAGTCATTAAGGTTTCGAGGCTGACGTTTGGCAACTCGAACCTTCAGCTCCCTCCACAGATTTCCTATGGGATTAAGGTCTGGAGACTGGTTAGGCCACTCCAAGACCTTAATGTGCTTCTTCTTGAGCCACTCCTTTGTTGCCTTGGCCGTGTGTTTGGGTCATTGTCATGCTGGAATACCAATCCACGACCCATTTTCAATGCCCTGGCTGAGGGAAGGAGGTTCTCACCCAAGATTTGACGGTACATGGCCCCGTCCATCGTCCCTTTGATGCGGGGAAGTTGTCCTGTCCCCTTAGCAGAAAAACACCCCCAAAGCATAATGTTTCCACCTCCATGTTTGACGGTGGGGATGGTGTTCTTGGGGTCATAGGCAGCATTCCTCCTCCTCCAAACACGGCGAGTTGAGTTGATGTCAAAGAGCTCCATTTTGGTCTCATCTGACCACAACACTTTCACCCAGTTGTCCTCTGAATCATTCAGATGTTAATTGGCAAACTTCAGACGGGCATGTATATGTGCTTTCTTGAGCAGGGGGACCTTGCGGGCGCTGCAGCATTTCAGTCCTTCACGGCGTAGTGTGTTACCAATTGTTTTCTTGGTGACTATGGTCCCAGCTTTCTTGAGATCATTGACAAGATCCTCTCGTGTAGTTCTGGGCTGATTCCTCACCGTTCTCATGATCATTGCAACTCCACGAGGTGAGATCTTGCATGGAGCCCCAGACCAAGCTGCTTGACAATGGTCTTGTAGCCCATTCCAGCCTTGTGTAGGTCTACAATCTTGTCCCTGACATCCTTGGAGAGCTCTTTGGTCTTGGTCGTGGTGGAGAGTTTGGAATCTGATTGATTGCTTCTGTGGACAGGTGTCTTTTAGACAGGTAACAAGCTGAGATTAGGAGCACTCCCTTAAGAGTGTGCTCCTAATCTCAGCTCGTTACCTGTATTAATGACACTTGGGAGCCAGAAATCTTTCTGATTGAGAGGGGGCCAAATACTTATTTCCCTCATTAACATGCAAATCAATTTATAACATTTTTGACATGCGTTTTTCTGGATTTTCTTGTTGTTATTCTGTCTCTCACTGTTCAAATAAGCCTACCATTAAAATTATAGACTGATCATTTCTTTGTCAGTGGGCAAATGTACAAAATCAACAGGGGATCAAATACTTTTTTCCCTCACTGTATGTTTGTGTATTTTGTATGGAGAGTGGGGAGCGGTAGTGCAGCGGTTAGCACGCTGCACTATTAACCCAGTCACCCGGGTTCGATTCCCACTCACGGTCAACAGCAGTGACAATCATCTGAACCGGTCCTGGGCCTCCCCTAGGTCGACTCTGTCACAAATGCATACCTGGTGTGGTGTGTAAGATATCAGTACTGGGCAGATGAAGGCAGCCAGGCGTGGTGCTGGCCACCCACCCTCTCGTGAGCTGTTCCGGCCTTCATAGGTGCTCGATAACAGCACTTGTCCCTACAGTCTGTTCAAGGCTACACGGGGGAGCTTTGTTTTATGTATGGAGAGCAGTAGTGTCGTGGTTAGCGTATTGCACTACGAACCCGATGACCCGATCGTCTAACTGGTCCCGAGCCTTCCCTAGGTAGACTGAACCTTAAATGTGTACCTAGTGCAGTTTGTTTACTTCCAGCACTGGAGAGATAAAGGTGGCCCAGGCATTGAGCCATGCCGGACTTCATAGGTGCTTGCTAACAGCACTTGCCCCAACAACTTGTTCAGGATATTTGCTCTTCGTGTGTATGTGTGTGTGTGTGCGTGCTGTGTATGTTGTGTGTATTGTGTGCTGTGTATATTGTGTGCTGTGTGTAATTGTGTGTATGTGTGCTGTGTGTATGTGTGCTGTGTGTATTGTGTGTGTATGCTATGTGTATTGTGTATGTGCGCGTGTGTACTGTGTGTGTGTGTGCGCACATGTCCAGCAGGCCGTGTGCCGGCCTTTGACCCCACGGCGTACGTGCGCCAGCGAGAGCAGCGCAAGAAAGAGGCAGAGCTGCGTGGGTGAGAGATACACAACGCTCGTGCGTGTGTGCACACCTTGTGCTTCACAGCGCGATACACACACAGATAAACACTGAGCACGGTACGCGCGGTGTGTATACATAAACACAGCGCGTACCATCCCCTTGTGTATTACACTGCCTGCTGCGCCTTGTGTACCGCACCGTGTATCCTGCCGTGTGTATCAGACTGCTTACCACCCCGTGTGTGTATCACACACAGTGTGTGTATCACACACAGTGTGTGTATCACACACAGTGTGTGTATCACACACAGTGTGTGTATCACACACACTGTGTGTATCACACACACACTGTGTGTATCACACACACTGTGTGTGTATCACACACACACTGTGTGTATCACACACACAGTGTGTGTATCACACACACTGTGTGTGTATCACACACACTGTGTGTGTATCACACACACTGTGTGTGTATCACACACACTGTGTGTATCACACACACTGTGTGTGTATCACACACACTGTGTGTGTATCACACACACAGTGTGTGTGTATCACACACACTGTGTGTGTATCACACACACTGTGTGTGTATCACACACACTGTGTGTGTATCACACACACAGTGTGTATCACACACACAGTGTGTATCACACACAGTGTGTATCACACACAGTGTGTATCACACAGTGTGTGTAACACACTGTGTGTGTGTTACACACACAGTGTGTGTTACAACACGGAGAGTAGTGGTGCAGCGGTTCGTGTGCTGCGCTATGAACCCGGTGACGCGAGTTCCATTCCCACTCACGGTTAACAACCAGTGACGATTAAATTGAACCGGCCCTCGGCCTCCCCTAGGTCGACTCAGTCTTAAATGAGTTCCTGGTACGGTGTAGTAAAAACATCGCCACTGGGGGAGACAAAGGCGGTCGGGCGTGGTTGCTGGCCACCCACCCCCTCGTGTGCCGTGCCGGCCTTCATAGGTGCTCACGAACAGCACGTGCCCCCCGACAGTCTGTTGAGGCTATGCGAGGGATCTTTGTTGCTACGCCGTGCGGCGTGTCTAACCGTGCTACGTGTGCTGGCAGTTCGAGACAGCGTCGCCGGGAGCTGCAGGGGACCCCGGGGAGCGGGGGGTCCAGCGGGGGCAGGGGTCGCCCGCGGTCGCGCCCTCCCTCGGGGGGACGAGCGCTCAACGGGCACAACACACGCAGCTCCTCCCGTGAGAACGCACGGACACGCACGGACACGCACGGACACGCGTGTGTGTGTGCGTGTGTTTGTCGCTGTGCATGTCAGTGTGTCAACGTGCGTGTCCGTGGTAGTGCAGTGGTTCACGGCCTGCGCTGCACACCCGGTGACCCGAGTTCGATTCCCGCTCACGGCCAACACCAGTGACGAATATCTGAACCGGTCCTGAGTCTCCAATGAGTACCTGGTGCGATGTATAAACATCGCCACTGGGGAGACAAAGGTGGCCGGTGTCGACCTTCATAGGTGCACTTGCCCAAACAGTCTTTTAAGGCTATACTGGCAGGGTGGGGGGGGGTGTCTTTGTGATTGTTTGTGAGCGAATAAAACACCCTCTTGGGTATGTTGTGACATCAATAACTCCACCCCCTCTGTAAGAGTTTGGGATGGTTGTATAGAAGTTGAGGCAGTTCCGTATCAGAATAAGTGTGGTGATGACCACCTCTGGTTGGGCAGCGGAGGTCTCGCTCCAATTTATTAGAGCACCATTACATTTTCAATGGCTGCATAGCGCTAAGTGGAAGCTTCCTGGCCTATCGCTCTCCGTATGAAGCTCTGGGTCTTCTCGGCCAAAGTTATGCCCACTCTTCTATTTGCTTGCGAAACATGGAGCACTTTACAGGAACAGCAGCGCCATATTGAAACAGTCAGACTGACCTGCCTACAATCTATCTTGAGTTTAACTCGGCTGGATTGTGTGAAGAGCTCGCAGAAGCTTGAAAGATCTGGACAAAGTCCCATTTGTGAGCTCCTCTGGCAAGGCGAGGTTGCGTTGGCTGGGTCAAGTTAACCCATACGCCCAGTGGGGTTGTACGATAGAGGCTGAATGAGCATGGCACGGCCTAGAGAAGAGATGGCTGATGTGGTACAGGACGACTCGGGGTGGACTTGCTGAAGATCAGTACCAATGGGGTTAGAGGGTTGGTAATGGAGGATGTTACTGGGAAAATCCTATCTGGCCCTTCTAGAATGTAAACGTAAGTTACATCACTCAGTCACTGTCTGTACGAGACGTATGTATTGTGTACGTATAGACGTGTGTGTGCTGCGCTTGTAAACACCACTTGCCCCAACAGTCTGGTAGAGGCTATGTGGGGGGGATGTTTGTCTTTGTGCAGTGGAGAGCGCCCATAGTCGGCGATCATCAGCAGGTTCCGGCAGCGACGCTGCCCCCTTTTCTGAGCCTCTCACCTCCGCCACGTGAGTCCCTCTCCTCCTCCTGCTGCTGCTGCTGCTGCCACCGACACGATAGCCGATTCAACTGCTGCAGCCGAGAATGCAGCCCAGCACTCGTCAAAAACAAACAACTCAGTGACCCCTCTCGGGCAGTAGTGACACTACGTCCTTCAGGCTCGCATTACTCGTTCTAACAATCTTGCAACTTTTTATTTTACCTGGTAAGGCCCACTGAGCTATAAAGCTCTTTTTTCAGACGCAACCTGGCTATCACAAATGATTTCTCAACAAAAAGTGTCTGAAACCTTTTGCATGTTTACATTAGCCAGAAAAAAGGCGAAAAACCCTATTATTATGTGATGTCGATGTCTTTGTGCGCCTTTTGGCATCATCTGGTCGAACACCATATGAGACTAGGCTCTAAGGAAAGCTGTCTCTGGTGTGGACCAATTAGTTTCAAGGACAATGCATAAATTATCAGTGTTGTTTTTTGTTTGCATTTTGACTGCAGGTATTGTGGTTAATGTAAACATGATTTCTTGCAAAAGGTTTCAGTTGTCGCCGTAAAAAAAAGTTTCAAAACCCTATTATTATTATTGTGGTGTGGTGTGGTGGTACGTGGCGTGGGTTGGTGTGTTGTGGCATGTGATGCGCCGTTGTTTTCGTTGTCGTGTGGCACGGCGTGCGATGGTATGGCGTTGGCTGGTGATCCAGTGTGGTGTTGTGTCATGTCGTATCATCGTCGTACAAATGTGTTGGTGTGCAGAACCCAAAGACGTGGAGGTAAACCCGTGAAAAAGAGCTCCTGGGAAAGCCCAGCTGAAGTGAGAACTGCCGACACCACGCTCCACACTCACACAGCACGCTAATCACACATCACCCTTACCACTCGCCACTCGCACAGCACCCAATCACTCGCACAGCACGCGACCATTTATAGGTGCATGTGTGCATGAGCGTGCTTGCGCGTGTGTACGTGAATGCGGGCGAGTGAGTGTGTGTGCGTACTCGTGTTTCAAGCGCTCATTTCCTCAGCCCAAGCGGGGCCGTGCGGAGCGGAGACGGCAGCTGGCCAGCACGCCCACAGCGACCCAACCTGCCGAGACAAGTGAGGACCTATCCCTCTCGGCGTCCGTCTGGTTGTTAACCTCTCTCTGTATCTGCATGTCCCTTTCTGCGTCTCCATTTCTCTCCAAACCTCACACCCCTCCGCGCCTGCTCACAGTTGCCTGCTCGCGCCAGCAAGCATCTCACCTCTCCTACCACAGGACGCGGCATCTCTCGTTTGACTTTGGGCCCGGGTTCACGTAACGTCTTTGTGTGTGTGTGTGGGGAGTGGCGGTACAGTGGTTAGCCCTCTGCGCTATGTATTCGGCAGTCATAATTCTATTCCTGCTCGCGACCAATAACAGTGCCGAATATTCGAACTGGTCCTGGGCCTCCCGTAGGTCCACTCAACCGTAAACAAGCACCTCGTGTGTTGTGTGAACATGAGCGCTGCGGAGACGAAGGCATCCTGGCTTGCTGTTGGCCACCCGCCCGCCCGCCCGCTCGTGTCGTGGCGGCCTTCATAGGTGCTCACTAACAGCACCTCCGATTAGCACGATTGGATATGTACGGTGCGAAAGAAGTTCAACACGCATACATGGCCCACCAGTCTGTTTAAGGCTATACGGGGGGAGCTTTGTGTTAATCATTCAGAGAGCGGTTGTGCAGTGGTTTACAACCTGTGTACAATTCCCGGTAATTGCATTGCCAAGTGGTATATGAACTTGTCCTGGGCCTGTCCCTATGTCGACTGCCTTTTGAGTGTCTGATGATATGCATCATCATCTGAAGTTGCGAGACTAAAGCGGCCGGGAATGGTGCTGTGCCATCCTTGATGAATGCTGGGCACTTGCCACGACGGTCCGCGGGGTGCATCTGTGCCCGTCACCTCGGTCAGTCAACTGATGACACCTGGGTCTGTGCCATGACCCGCTGCCAGCGAGCCTTCTGCAATTCACACGGCTTCAGAGGGCACCCAGGCTGGCATAAGCGCAGCGGTGACATCACTGCGACTTAGTGAATGACAGCTGTTGTTTTTATTATTTATGCTTGCTTGTGTCTGGTGTCCTGTGTATGATCTGCCTGTGTGTGTTTGTGTGTACGGGGAATGGTAGTGGAGCGGTTCGCGCACCGCGCTACAAACCTGGCGACCCGGGTTAAATTCCCGCTCACGGCCAACACCTGTGATGATTTTTTTAACTGGTCCCAGGTCTCCCCTACGTCGACTCGGCCTCAAATGAGTACCTGGCGCAGTGTAAACATCGCCACTGGGGAGACAAAGGCGGTTGGGCATGGTGCCGGCCACCCACCCCCTCGTGTGCGGTACCGGCCTTAATAGGTGCTCGCTAAAAACACTTTCCCCGACAGTATGTTAAGGCTATACGGGGGATCTTTGTCTGTGCGTTTTTTTGCAGTGACCTACTACAGCCAATCGGCCGACCTTTCCGAGATCGACGCTCGCCTCGACGCTCTGCAGGACTACATGCGTGCACTCGAAGCCCACAAGTAGCCCCCCCATCCTGCCCACCACGGCCACCTCCGTGGGAGTGCCCAACGTCAGTATCACATCATCAGAGTACCGACCACGCAGTAGTATCTACATCGTCACCACTACCACGCAGTAGTATCTCATCATCAAAAGTCCCCCGTGTAGCCTTAACAGACCGTTGGGGCAAGTGCTGCGAGCACCGATGAAGGCTGACACGGCACACGAGGGGGTGAGTGGCCAGCACCACGCCCGGCCGCCTTTGTCTCCCCACTGGCGATATTTAACCACCGCACCAGTGACATAAGGAAGTCCGAGGACCAGTTCACATATTCAGAACCGGTGTTGGCTGTGAGCGGGAATCGAACTCGGGTCGCTGGGTTCATCGCACAGTGCGCTAACCACTCCCGGAGTATCTCATCATCACAGCACCTGCCACGGGCAGGTATGCACCTGCCATGGCTGTGTGAAGCACAACATCATTGCACCCTTCTCAAGATAACCTCCCTCGCCATGGCAGGGTCATGTGGCATGGTTAAGATGTGTTGGCACGCCTGCGATTCGGCACTTTCCAGCCGGGGTTGATAGGATATTGTAAAGACCAAAATATCTCGGCGTGGATTTTTGAGTTTTCCTTTGTGTGCGCATTTGTGGATTGTATCCAGCGTCTCGTTTTTTTTCCCCTCGTGCAGAAACCCTGATTGTAAAGGCTTCATCCAGACATTCCAATGCAAATACAGCGTCAAAAAGCCTCCCTGCGCAAGCGATCAAGGAGCGATGCTCTTCTTGCAGTTATGAAAATTCATATGACAGAGGCGAGTTCATCATCTATCGGATGATATTCTTGGTTCTTTCGGTAAAGTCACGTTGAAGGGAAACAATAAAATAATAAAATATATGTTACTGTTTTATATATTTTATTATTTTATTGTTTCCCTTCAACGTGACTTTACCGAAAGAACCAAGAATATGAATCACTGCAGTCACGAAAGCTTTCAATCAAAATCTATTGGATGATCGCGTTAACCTTTCACGTGGCACTAATTTTATTGTGTGTGAAAGTGTGATGGGCCGAGCCGATTTCAGAGCACCGTGCATAGAGAGCTCTGACCCCAGCAGGATCCTTCAGAAGCCAGCAGCAGATTTTGCTGTGTAGATGCCCACTCCCGTCAAAGAAGTGTGGAAGCCGAGGACCGCAAATGGGGTGTCGTGCAAATCCATTGAGCAGGCACGCTTATGGCTACCAATTAATAGGTGAGATTTAAAACCTGAAAATGTTGAGCGACTTTAAAAGCCATCGCTATTGGTGATTCTAGAAACTCAACAATTTAGTCATTAACACAAACCTTAAAAATAAAAAAAATACATGACAGGTGATGTTACGAGGAAAATGGCCCTTCATAGCACATATATTTATGCACTATGATGGACTGTTACCTGCAATGTCAGATATATATTTATTTTAAGGCCACAGTTTTCGTGATAAACGCGTTACGTTCCTTCTGTTACTGGTGCGCTCGTGCCCAACTGGCGATGCAGCAGCGTCACCAAACAACGTGTTTCAGAATTATTCTACGCTTTGGCGAAAAAAAGCCATTGGCTGCTTCTGAAGCTCGCGTGGTCCTTTACTCTAGTTTTGAAAAAAATTATATTGTAAGCAAGTTAAATGTGCGCCAATGGTAATCCGAATACACACTAATCCCAGAGTAATTACACGGGATCGCCAGAACTTGCCTTTGGTCATCGGGCTACAGTAACGAGTTACTCCCCAGCACACCTGACCGCTTCGCTAGCAATGCAAGCCTCTCTGCACGTTGGTTCTCAATTTGGGAGCCACTGGCCCAGACCCACGTCCTCGCGCGCTGCCCACGGATTTTGGGGTTTGATTTGCATGTTGCCGCGATATTTGTCATGTACATACGTATATTTTATTGCCGTCCTGCGTGATGTGAATTGTTGAACTTTTTAAAACTCGCGTACATTGCATTGTTTTTGTATCTCTTCAGAACTTTTCAGATTTTTTTGTTACGGTTAAAATGGCGCGGATGTTACCTGCAGGGTTCACCGCGAAGTCAATACTTCCTGTTGTCCATATTCAGATCAAAATGTCATCACGGCGCGTACCAACAAAGCGACCGCGGCAATCGCCTTCTTCCTTCTGCCAGGTCATCGAGTTGTCGCACACTTGACACTCGATCTCCCGAGGCCTGCTCACGGTCTCACGACCACCGTCTCCTTTTAGGGCTCTTCCCCCTGTCTTGCGGTTCGCTCGTCCGTCCTTCAAGTACCACTCGTACAACCCTGAGATTAAACATTACGTCTGTATTTAGACGCTGTATAAATAAACAAATATGATTAAAAACACATGCAGGGCGACACATTCAAAAGTGTTTAAGTAAAAACGTAATTGTCCCATTTTTTTAAAGACGCACGCAAATTCTTGTCGATGAGCGCTAGCAGAGGGTGACGATGCCAGTTAGGCAACTCACTCGTGCATCTCGACCGGACGACTTCTAAACGCGTGAGTTCCCCGCCAGAGGTCATGTCCCTCGTCAACCCCGGTAATTACGGCAGCAGCAGGAGATGTGAATTTCAAATCCTGATGGGACGGTTGCGTTGAGCCGCCTTGATTGCATTAAGCCAATCCGAACGTTCACCAGGGAATCAAGTGTCGAGCAACTTGGCAACATCTCAACGGACGCAAATGGCAAAGCCAAGTTGCCTGGCAATGCATCGGTGTGCGAGTGCACGAGTTTGTGACTTAGAAGTGAAGAGCTTGCTTTGTAAACGTGGATATGACGTTTTGGCCCCACCCGCGTGTTTTAATAAAGTGTTGCGATCTCTTGCATCCTTCACTTTCCAGCTCCCGAGTCGCTGCACACCACTGGAGCAGACTTAATGACTAGCAATAGTTAACTTGGGGAGACCTTCACAAGCCAAGACAAAAAAAAACAAATCTTCCTATTATTTGTGGAAGTTGTGCACTGTATTTTGAAGCCAAGCTCTCCACTCAACAGCAACAGTGTGATTTGTGTTCAACAGTTAATTTGACGACGTCTCAGTCTCGTTAGTGGATAGTGGTTTTCCCCAACGTCGTTGATTCGAGACATTTGTAATGCAAGACCTCCGCTGGCGGGCCAGGATTAAGTAAAAATCCAAAACGATACACGGGAGATTGTTTGTTTAGTACATCGATGACCGAGATGACACCATCAACTCGCTTGGCCTTGAGAACCCGGATTCATGTCATGTGCAAGTTTGTGCACATGGGGGCGCAGGGCAGAATTCACTTCGTCTTGGGTTCCAGGCGGCCCAGGTCGCCGAAGGATCGAGTCTGCGAGCCCCTCTTGGCCGGCTTGGCCTGGACAAGAGGAGAGGAAACGGATTGAGTTCTGGGTCCAGGCCGAACCAATTGTGTTGTGCGCTTTCCACACTCCTGCAAGAGGCATCCACCCAAATCCTCGCTACGATCTCTCCACTGGCTCCAATCACAATCCTGGATCAACTGCAGGATACACTTTTTTTTTCAGGTAAGGCCCACTGAACTATGTAGCTCTTTTTCAGAAACGACCTGGCCACAAATGATAGATCAACGAAGTGGCTTATGTGGAAATATATAGCGGCCAAATATTCTAAACGTGTGACGTTGATTCCAAATGTGTAGGGAAAAACCGGAGAACCCGAAGGAAAATCCACGCGACCATGGGGAGCACATGCAAACTCCAAATATGCAGGTTTCAAGGTCATCGTGGAACCCACGACCTCATGTATACCAGGCGAGGTAGTTAATTATGAGACGTGCATTGCCAGGGCTTGAACTTAGATGCTGGGCCGTGGTGGCTCGGTGCTCTCTCAAGAGCCTAACATGTAACAGGGGGGGGGGCACACGGGGTAGAGGTCTCACCTGTGACTCGTGCGGTTTCCAGCCGATCATGTGCAGCACCTGGAACGTGGCCGGGATGGAGTCTTCCGTTGGCCCGTACATCTCTGTGTCAAAGCACACGCGCGTACACACACACAGATAAAGTTCCCCCCCTCCCCTGTGTAACCGTGAAACACACTCGGGGGCAAGCGCTGTTAGTGAGCACCTATTAAGGCCGGCACAGCACACAAGGTGGTTGGTCGGTACCCCGCCCAACCACCTTTGTCTCCCTCGTGATCTTTACACACTGCACCAGGTACTCATTTGAGGCTTAGTCAATCTGGGGGAGGCCCAGGACAGGTTCAGATAATCTTCAACAATGTTGGCTGTTGCGGGAATCGAACTCGGGTCGCTGGGTTCATACCGCAGTGCACCAAATACACTACTACATATGTGTATCAATATGGGCATATGAACACATTCGCAGATGCAGCCACACACATGCACACATACGCCCTTATACGTACGTATACACAAGTACTCGTACATTTACATACATACAAACAAGCATACACACCTACACAAGAACAGGTGCTTGTGATCAGTGCCAACGGAAAGCCAATGGGTTTATGCACTCAAAGTAAAAACAAACTAAAACTCAACCCATTTGACAACTGCCCTTCTTCATAGCGCATCAGAAGAAGACAGGAGGGTCGTTGCCCGAAACGTCACCCGTTACGTAATTTTCTCTAAGGCCGCAGTGCTAATGACAAATGTGTTGAGTTGTTTTGGTTATCTGCTCGTGCACCACTGCCAAAGCAGCCAGCAGCAGCCAGAGACAGCAGCCAGAAGACAGAGACAGCAGCCAGAGACAGCAGTCAGAGACAGCAGTCAGAGACAGCAGTCAGAGACAGCAGTCAGAGACAGCAGCCAGAGACAGCAGCCAGAGACAGCAGTCAGAGACAGCAGCCAGCAGCCAGAGACAGCAGCCAGAGACAGCAGCCAGAGACAGCAGCCAGAGACAGCAGCCAGAGACAGCAGTCAGAGACAGCAGCCAGAGACAGCAGCCAGAGACAGCAGTCAGAGACAGCAGTCAGAGACAGCAGCCAGAGACAGCAGTCAGAGACAGCAGCCAGGAGACAGAGACAGCAGCCAGACAGCAGCCAGAGACAGCAGTCAGAGACAGCAACCAGAGACAGCAACCAGACAGCAGTCAGGAGACAGCAGCCAGAGACAGCAGACAGAGACAGCAGTCAGACAGCAGCCAGAGACAGCCAGAGACAGCAGCCAGAGACAGCAGCAGGAGACAGCAGTCAGCAGCCAGAGACAGCAGCCAGAGACAGCAGCCAGGAGACAGCAGTCAGAGACAGCAGCCAGAGACAGCAGCCAGAGACAGCAGCCAGGAGACAGCAGTCAGAGACAGCAGCCAGGAGACAGCAGTCAGAGACAGCAGCCAGAGACAGCAGCCAGAGACAGCAGTCAGGAGACAGCAGCCAGAGACAGCAGTCAGAGACAGCAGCCAGAGACAGCAGCCAGAGACAGCAGCCAGAGACAGCAGTCAGAGACAGCAGCCAGAGACAGCAGCCAGAGACAGCAGCCAGAGACAGCAATCAGAGACAGCAGCCAGGAGACAGCAGCCAGAGACAGCAGTCAGAGACAGCAGCCAGAAGACAGCAGCCAGAGACAGCAGTCAGAGACGGCAGCCAGAGACAGAAGTCAGAGACAGCAGCCAGAGACAGCAGCCAGAGACGGCAGTCAGAGACAGCAGCCAGAGACAGCAGTCAGAGACAGCAGCCAGGAGACAGCAGCCAGAGACAGCAGTCAGAGACAGCAGCCAGAAGACAGCAGCCAGAGACAGCAGTCAGAGACGGCAGCCAGAGACAGAAGTCAGAGACAGCAGCCAGAGACAGCAATCAGAGACAGCAGCCAGGAGACAGCAGCCAGAGACAGCAGTCAGAGACAGCAGCCAGAGACAGCAGCCAGAGACAGCAATCAGAGACAGCAGCCAGGAGACAGCAGCCAGAGACAGCAGTCAGAGACAGCAGCCAGAAGACAGCAGCCAGAGACAGCAGTCAGAGACGGCAGCCAGAGACAGAAGTCAGAGACAGCAGCCAGAGACAGCAGCCAGAGACGGCAGTCAGAGACAGCAGCCAGAGACAGCAGTCAGAGACAGCAGTCAGAGACAGCAGTCAGAGACAGCAGTCAGAGACAGAAGTCAGAGACAGCAGCCAGAGACGGCAGTCAGAGACGGCAGCCAGAGACAGCAGCCAGAGACAGCAGCCAGAGACAGCAGTCAGAGACAGCAACCAGGAGACAGCAGTCAGAGACAGCAGTCAGAGACAGCAGTCAGAGACAGCAGCCAGAGACAGCAGCCAGAGACCGCAGTCAGAGACGGCAGCCAGAGACGGCAACCAGAGACGGCAACCAGAGACCGCAGCCAGAGACGGCAACCAGAGACAGCAGCCAGAGACCGCAGCCAGAGACCGCAGCCAGAGACCGCAGCCAGAGACCGCAGCCAGAGACAGCAGTCAGAGACAGCAGCCAGAGACAGCAGTCAGAGACAGCAGCCAGAGACAGCAACCAGAGACCGCAGCCAGACAGCAGCCAGAGACCGCAGCCAGAGACAGCAGCCAGAGACAGCAGCCAGAGACAGCAGCCAGAGACAGCAACCAGAGACAGCAGCCACGAGACAGCAGCCAGAGACAGCAGTCAGAGACAGCAGAGACAGCAGTCAGAGACAGCAGTCAGAGACAGCAGCATCACCAAACCACTGCTCTCAAAGTGGCGTCACTGTGGAGGATCATCGCCGTCGTCATCGGGCGCGCCCAGTGCACAGACCCTTGTAGATGGCAGCAGCCGCGACCATGGTGTCCCGGTGCAGCATCGCCTTCCGGTTCCACGTGCAGTTACTCTCGCCCATCCCTGATGCGCACGCGCACAACAAAGACAAAGATTCCCCATATAGCCTCAACAGACCGTTGGGGCAAGTGGCCAGCAGCAGGGGGCGGCAGTCGTTTGCCTCCCCAGTGGCGATGTTTACACACCGCACTCGGTCATCATTTGAGGCCGAGTAGTCCTAGCAGAGGCCCAGGGCCGATTCAGATAATCATCACTGGTGTTGGCCGTGAGTGGGAATCCAACTCGGATTGCCGGGATCGTAGCGCTGCGCGCTAACCGCTGCGCCACCGCTCCCCGAACGAACACAAAGACACGCGCAGACAAACAGCGCTTGAACACGGCACATTCGCCAGAAGTTCAACATACATATTGCACAAGCTCATCGTTCAATCCAGCAGGCCACCCTCGTTATTACTGCGGGTGTATACAAAAAAACTGTGTGCACGTATGCGCATTGGTAATACAGCACGCGTACATCCAATGTGTGTATGTGTCCGTATGTCAATGTTTGCCATGCAGTACCTACCCTGCAAGTCGGCCATGAGTTCGAACATCGTGGGATAACGAACCACAATCTCGTCCATATCCTAAAACCAACGCGCGCAACGGGGGAGGGGGGGGGGGAATCCAGACGCAGGAACGCGGCGAGACGCGTGGGCAGGAGACAAACACGGGGAGACGGAGCAAAAGGGAAGACAGACGGAAAGAAGGAGACAACGGGGACACGGGCGAGGGACAGAGACACAGAGATTGGAGAGGACCGTCAGTTTCGGTCGCAAGCATGCGGCAAGGTCTCACCCTGCGAGTGATCGTCATCCTTCGTGTAACCAGACCACAGCCCTGCTGCTAAAATTCTCTATTTGGAAGCCCACCCATGACACCGCGCGAATTATTTAATTGACCATTCTGAGGTGCCCCGAGATTCACTGCCCCTCTTGTGAATGCCCGACATGCAACCAGAGGGAGGGGAGGTTCAGTGGTTTACAAGCTGCACGATGAACCCGAGTTCGATGCCAGGCCACGGCTCGGCTAACATCACTGGTGGGTGATATCCACCCTGGGCGCTGGTGGCACCTCCCCCCCACCTCCCCTCCC